CATGCTCGTAATTTACTCTGCCCTTTGCCCACAGTTTTTCTGTTCTGAGTTCTAGCGAGGTGTTCTTCTACTTGTCGTGGCTGTGTTGCTAGGCCTTTGGTAACAAGGACATGGGGCCTTCAGTGCATGTGCACCAGTGGGAAGCAAGTGCAATGGCGGCCATCTGTTTCATTTGCGTGCTAACCACCAACAGAATGCGTGCTCCAAGGAGGTTGTACCTTGTTGCTTGGCGTAACTTGGTCTCCCTAGTCCCAAAGTGACTAGTGACTTTTGATCACACACCTCGAGACAAGATGCTAACTTAATGAGCTGGGCGTAGTCACCGATCCGTTGGTGTTCCTTCAAACATTATTCCCCGCCACACCAACATCCCAGCTTTCCGACCTTCTCGCTAAGCACAAAACGATCCCACAAATTGTTGAAATTCTTCTGCCACCACCAGCTGATGATGCTCGTTCATCGATGAACGCATCCATTCCGATACAGGAGACGGCGCAGCCACGGAAGAAGAAGCGACGCAAGAAGGTGATCAACCTGACGGACGTTCGGCAAGGCGGTTCCTTTGTCGAGAGACGCTCCGCTCCTAATCACCATGCCTCAACCTCTGCGTCTGCAAATGTGTCAGAAAACTCTGAGGAGGATGATGTGGGGACGTGGATTACGTTGGATTCGGTTTCTCTACAACTCGCCAATCTCATCCCCTCAGTCTCCGCTGCACGTCTTCCATCGCTGTATCACACTTATCCCTCCCTACCCCTCGCGCTTGACGCTCTCCTCTCCAGCTTCAAGCCTCCTGCAAGCTTGGAGTTCGAACGAAGCCTCAAGATCTTCGCCGAAATGTTTCCATCCGAGGAAAGGCAGCAACTGAGGGTGTTCCTTGGTGCGACAGAAGGGGATGTAGATCGAGCAATGGACTTGATGCAGCTAGTCAAAATGGTAGGGGATGTAGGGGAGGGTATCAAAGCGCAGAAAGTAGTAGGAAACAAGTTCAATCTAGCTCCACCTAAATCTTCCTCTTCGACAAGTACGAGTACGAGTAGAACGACATACACGCCTACTCGTCCGCGAACAACGGTGACAGTCGTCCGTTCATCCGACTACAGCTCCACGTACTGCTTCAAACGTGTTCAAGAGCTCGAAGAACAGCGAAACGGTTTCTATCGGTCCGCCGCAAATTTCTTTCGTACAGCCCCTGCGACGAGTAAACCAGGGGTAGCGGTTTATACAGATAGGGGGAAGGAGGCAGATAAAGAGATGCGAGTGTGGCAGATGCGTGGATCGAAAGCGCTCGTGAGGGAGAGGATGAGAGATAGAGGAACCGGAGACGTGGATCTTCATGGATTGACAGCAGTGAATGCTGTGGCCGTGGTGAAGGAATTCACAGACGATTGGTGGACTAACAAAGCGGGTAAGTCTCCGAGTCAATTTCCGCAATGTTCTGTTCCTGATGCCTGTGCAAGATTTGAGGCCGCCACCACTCAGGATTATCACAGGCGTCGGACGCGGCAGCCCAAATCAAGTCTCAGTTCTTGTACCTGCTGTGGGACAATTTTTGGATCGCGGAGGATGGAAGTGGGCGTATGAGGGAGGAGATAGAGGCAGTGGTGTCATTTTGGTAAAGGGAAGGGCTCGATAGCATTACCTCGAGTTCGCGGTTTTTATTCCTCTGCTTAATGTGTTTCATGAAGATGTCCATTGTTTTCTCTTGCTTTCTGCAGGTCCCTGCATTTTTGTCGTATCACACAATTTGTCGAGCCAATATTTTTATTTCATTTGTTGTGGATCGCATCAACATCCTTGCAAGACCGTGCCTTTCTTGTTCACTTGCCGTCCATTCAACATGTATCGTTGAGGGACACCATGGTCAGCATGGTCACACTTTAGAAGCCCGAAAGAAGGGAGTTGTGGAACTTGTAAGGTTTGACGAAGGCTCGAAGGTGAAACGATTTCCACGACCAAAGTCCATCGAAGAGACCGCCCAGATGGCTTCCTCTCCAATGGCTTCTACGTCTACGCCTCCCCTTGATTCAGCACGCTACTCGCCGCGTCCTTCAATGTCCTCCAATGACCCTCCCACTTTTTCTTCTCTCGGCCCATCCTCGACCTCAGTCTCCTCACCAGCCACTCTCGGCAATGGGCTACCGAGTATTTTTACGAACGGCACCAATGGAGACTCAAACGGACCAGATATGGGACTCCTCGTCCCTCAAGCTTTCGACGAGAGCGTTTTGAGGAATTTGGTCGATTTGGACTGTGGCATGCCACTCATGCTCGATCGACTAAAACAAGACATATCTTCTTGTCGCGAAGTTTCTGGTTTCCTCAAGAAGCGTGCATTGATAGAGGAGGAGTACGGAAGAAACATGATTAAGGCGGCGAAGACGTCGTTGGAAAGTTATGCCGTGTCGGATTCCAAGGCTGGAACTTTTGTTTCCAGCTATAATACCATGTTGAGACTACATGAGATCCTGGGAGAGAATAGGATTAAGGTCTCCAGCCAGTTGAATGACATGGCAGAGGAAATTTTGGCGCTGTCGAGGGAGGTGGAGAAGAGTAGGAAGTCGAATAAGGAGACGGGAATGAGGCTGGAGAAGAATTTGATTGACTGTGAAGCTGGAGTCGACAAAGTGCGTTTTTCTTTTGGTCAGTGCACGCGAGCAAGGGTTGTGAAGAAGTATGCTACAATCGTAAAATAAGAGGATCGCAGCATTTATGTTCATGCTAGACAGAGTCTTCCCTTAAATTAGAACTATTGGCTGACCTTGCTCTTCAACAGGCAAAAGTGCGCTTTGATTCTGCATCCGAAGATCTCGAACGCCTCTTGGTCATGAAAGCGGGTGAATCGATCAAAGACCCCTTGAACCTACCACACTCTCCCCAATCCCAAGCGTTATCCGGCTCCTACTTTCAAACCGCAGCACAGGGAGGCACTCAAAAACGCACACTTGGAAAAGCGCTGGGTAAGATCAAGAACTCCGTTTCATCGACCTCTGGTAAATCCCCTTCCCAAATTGCGCGCCTGGAAGAAGAGGCTCGGAATCGCACAAGCTTAGCTAGCGATGCGTACCGACAGGAGGTGCTCAAGACGCAGAAGATTCGGCAGGAGTGGTTCAATCTCCAATTACCACGACTGTTGAGGACGCTGAAGGAGAGTATGGATGAGTGTGAGATGGGATTGCAATATTATCTCCTCCGGTATGCATGGATGTTCGAGAAGGCGTTAGTGGACGACGCTGGTGTCGTAAGTCCCTTAGGAGGAATTGAAGAAGGTACGTTGTTGTTCAATGTCTGTGCGGTCTTGTCAAGAACAGCTCCTGAGTGGATTTTTGCAGGACCTGGACTCAAGGCAGTTGCAGAGTCAGTAGACAACCTTGACGACTTCAAGAATTACATGCAGAACTACGTGATTGCGTACGGCATGACTGGAGCCAAGGGACCACGACGGGAGGGTCCACCTGAGGAAGGCTTCCTACCACCACCGTCGCAAAATCCACGCAGACCATCGATGTCTCCCCCTCAACCCACACAGATTTCTCAGCCTTCACTACCTCCGTCAAATAAAACTCCTCCAATCACGAAAGAGCTCGCGGCTCTCACACCGCAAGCACCATCCGCGAAACCAACATTTGGCGTAGATTTGGCAGAGCAAATGTCAAGAGATGGTGTGGAGGTTCCGAGGGTACTGGAGAAGTGTTGTGAGGTGATCGAAGAGTTCGGTACGTTCCATTTTCGATATTCGTACTTTATGGTCTGCTGACAGGAGTTGCAAGGACTGGATACTGTAGGTATCTATCGGCTGAGCGGAACAACCAGTCGGATACAACGGTTGAAGCAGAAGCTTGATAAAGGTTCGTTGAATCGCCTCTGTAATGTGCTCATTTAAACCACCGAATAGATGTAGAAGCTGTAGATCTACGTTCGGAAGAAAATCTGTCAGATATCAACGATATTACTGGAGTTTTGAAACTCTGGATTCGTGAGCTACCAGAGCCGCTGTTGACATGGGAGTTATATGATGGCTTTATTGATGCAGCCAGTATGTCCTCTCTTCTTCTATTAAACAATGTCTGACGAACCGTCCCAGAAATTGAAAACGACCGTTTACGGCACATCCGTCTACATGAGCGAGTCAACGACCTCCCCGATCCTAACTACGCCGCCTTACGCTATCTTATGGGTCACTTACACAAGGTGCGGCAGAAGGAAGCGAAGAATTCGATGACCGTTTCCAATCTCGCCATCGTATTCGGTCCTAATCTTTTAGGTCCACCGAGCGGAGAAGAAGGCGTTGGAGGAATCATGAAGATTCAAGATATGCAGTGGCAATGTCGAGCTGTAGAAACGATTCTTGAGCATTATGTCGCTATTTTCGTGGAGGAAGAAGGATCATAGGTGTGGGAGTCGCGGCCTTGCGTCGTTGAGTTGATGGACCATTTTGCTGCTGGTAATTCTGCGCTATACTTTCTGGACTGTGAAGTGTTGAGTTCTTTCAGTGTTGATTGGTTGTGGGAAAGGTTTACAGTGCAGGGTGCGATTTGGCCGATGGTGTTGTTTCAATATCCTTTGACAAAAGTAGCATTGAGAGTTGTCTTCGTGATCATCCGCTCAGTGAGCTTCAAATCACTTTTTCACGCCTTTTCCTTTTTCACCATGCCTCTCAGATGAGAGCACTTTAGCTTTATTGATAATCAAATCGCTTTGACGCAGATGAACAAATGACGAGCTCCTGTTCTAAAGGCATAGTACAGTATCTTTTGGCTTCCTCCATTTTTGACTGCTAGAAGTGGATGAGGTAAAGAAAGTTAACATAAAGATCAGGGAAAATAAAGATCAGGAAAAATAAAGATCAGGAAAAATAAAGATCAGGAAAAATAACAAAAGTAACCTTCAGTAATAGTATATAGTTGTAAGTTGTAAGTATTGCAGAGGGTTAGAATAAATTGGCTGGTTCAACCACGTAAATCATTCCATAGAGATAATAAAAAGGAATAGAAAAAAGAGGGTCTTTCCGTGGATCGAACACGGGGCCTCTCCCAGACAGTTAAACCCTAAGGGAGAATCATACCACTAGACCAAAAGACCTGTTGTTAAAGCAGTTTGACTATTGCGTTACATCAATTTTACTGCTTAAGTGTTTCCTTTAATTCGTTCTTTTCGTTTGTCACGTTCAACGCGTCTTGGACGCGCCTTCTCCCAACTTTCTGTCCACAGCTTCTTTGCGTTCTTGGCCAGGTCTACTTATACCAACTCCTCAACCAAACCCATCGTGTCCAAAAAAAATTGCACCACCTCTTCTATTCACCACCAGAGCACTTTTTCAGACAAAGGACGAAGTAATTGTTTGTTTCTCCGTCTTCCAAGAACACCACGCAGAAACGCCTTCAACCGAAGGATTCGACGGCATTCATATTCTTGAAAACTCGAACATCCAAAAGGAGAAACCGGTCCCAAACAACAAAGGGAAACTCTAGTACGGCTTACTTTCCTCTTTATTTTCTCATTACTTATAACGCTGTAAGAGGAACTCCCATTCGAAGCTGGAACAGCGACGCATTTGACGTACGCTTCTTGTCCTTTCCCTGCCTTGTTAACCTTCGGTTCCTGACCTCCTCGTAGCGATCCACCATCCGCCACTCGAGACCAATTATACCTTCAAGCGAGCATTTCCTCCCTCACGTCGTCTTCGTTTCGCCGATTACTCCTTCACCTTGACGAGCATTCAGAATGTCGTTGAAGCGCAAGCAACCCTGTGAAGCGGATTTCGAACTTGCAGAAGAGGACCTTGCCTTCCAATCCCGCCAGCTCGTCTATCTCTCCGAAGCGAAATGGTCCTGCGGTCACAACGGGGATCCATACCCTAACGATACAACTTGGGCCTCTGTGGGATTATCCAAGATCAACGATATCTTGGTAACCGAGTTCCAAGGACGCGGAAGGATGAAGATGAGGAGGACGAATGGCCAAGCTGTAAGCGCAATAGTGAGGGCAGTAGCCTCCCAGAAGCAATATAGAGGAACAGCGTGTGGAGGATCAGGAAGAGCACATTCTCAGCTGCCGCAAGGTCTCGATCAACACGTTCGAAGCACTGCCCCTCTTCAAGCCGACCAGCATCAACAATCCCAACAACCTGGTTCTGCTCCCCAACCTCGACTTCAAGTTCAGCCGCCTGCCTTGCCTCACATCCAACTTCGCCAACATGACCATGATACTGTTCAAACCATCCAGCCGCCTCTGCTCCTACATACCCCATCACTCGCAGGCGGGGGCCAACAAAGACTCCTTTCTCCTTTCAGGATCCAAGACCCCTCCCCCTCCGCTCACACTCCTACCTTTGTCCCCAGCACATCTCCTCAGAGTATCTCTAGGCCATCGACGGGGCACTCAGATAACTATGTGGCGACCTCACCTTCTCTCTCGGATCGGAGCCAAATCCGGACTACGCCGTCGAGGCCCACCGCACTGCATCGCCTGACGGTTGGTGATGCTCGTGCTGCTGGTACAACTTCTGCGGGCGTGCGTGGACAAAGTACTAGTCAGAGAGAGGTCGTCATGCTTCAGAGCGAGAACAATATCGATGAAGAGGCTGAAAGGAAAAAGCTGCCTGGTAGCAGGAGGAGGGTCGAGTAATAGCGCGATATACCTGCAACGGGAGGAGACATCGTGTGTTGTACATTCTTTGGTTAGTTTCATTCACCTTCTTGTCATGGGCATTGTGTGTGTGTATGTGTGTGTTGTTGGAGAACAAAATACAAAATCGCAGAAGTGGCATTACAATAGCCTACTAGTAGCATATACGACTCTGACTCCTTTATACGATTGTGTTAACGGCATTACAGCGACCTACTAGTAGCATACACGATTTGACTTCCTTTATTCGACGTTCTTAACCTTCCCCTTTCCTTGTGAATTCAATTTTAAGAATTTGTCTACCCAATGCCTTACAATCTCCTTGTGTATTCGATTTTTAACGTTGTCGTTTATTGTTTATGAAATCATAATCAGCTGTACAATCACGAAAGGCGTTGTTCAACTTGAAACATTTGAAAGCCTTCTTCACCTTTGAGTTGAAGTTTACGAAGAAGTGAGGACTCAAGACCGGTCAGCGAGAGGAAACATGGTAACCTTCTGCTTAGATTCATAGCAATGAAGGAGCATATAAGCAACAAATACAGAGGAAAGACGAATTATTGAGACCGGCAGGATGTGGGTATCACAGGGTATCTCCTGCTCTTATAGATCATGAACAATAAAGCTTTAGTAAACAAAGCAATAGAATGAAAAGAGAGAGGAATATAAAAGTGAATCGAATCTTTTCTCTCCTCTCCGTACGTGAAAGATGTGGCAAGATGTCGACACTCGATGCGGCGAGACTTGAGGAAGAGGAAGTGATGGAGGAAGTGCGGGATGACTGGTATGGCTGCTTGCCTCGTCAGTCAACATCGATGAGAAAGGATAGTCAAAACTACGGACAGATTTAGGGACACAATAGCGCCAAGTATCGTTGGGGTCGTTGCCTTTGTACAAGATCTCGAAGTCGTTGACCACCTTTTGAGTGCGTCAGTCATGACAGAACAAGGGAGGGAGGAGTTGTGACTGACAGGGAACGAGTAATTGTCTTCCTCGTCTTCCATTGCCTCCTCTCGTTCAATTTGGCTCCTTCTCCTGACAAGCTTCACCTATTTGACGGGTAAGCAAGGTATGTTTCAGATCAAATCGCGACCCGTACCTCTTTTGAAGGACTGCCCGACCTCCTAATCTTCTTCGCTGACGTCCAAATTTTCTCACTCCCCTCCGTCCCAATTGAGATCTTCCTTTTACGTGCCTCTTCCTCCCCCTCTGTGCCGGGTTGGGGATATCCTTTGACCCAGCAATCGAAGGCGGTTGGAGGTGATGGCGGGGGAAGAGGGGCTTTCTGGGCTCGAGGATTAAATAGTGTGAATATCAGAAAGATGGTATTCATGGTTTTGAGATCGTAATCGCGTCGCTTGCAGGTGCTCTGATTGTAGGCTTCTTTGTTGATACTTTTGCTGAAAAAGGAGTCGCGACGTGTTCTTGTTCGTCCCTAACCCTATTATGCAAGATTTATTCTGCACGTGACTTTGTCGCGACACTTGTTTCCACCCGTCTAAAGCAAGCGGATTGGAGGTCTCAGCGACTTAAAGGAAGAAGGGATATAAGATGTCGCAAAGAGTCATTGACAGGGTATCAGCGATTGAGAAGGGCATGTCTGGTCTAGCAGTTGGGGACGAGAATGCTGGTAAGGGGGCAGCTCCAAAAAAGCTGATGACAAAGGTACGTGTTTTCTTGCCAAAATGAATCGTCAGGGATCGAAAGTGAATTGGAATAGTTTGCACTTGCTCAACAAAACAAAGCGGCAGCGGCAGCTGGAAGACCTGTGACGTTGCAGAAGAGCGCCTCTCAAACATCTGCCACCTCGCGTCCTCCGCTTATCAAGCTTGGCCAATCTTCATCATCGCAAGATGCAAACTCACGGCCGCCCTCTCGCACAGGAACCATAGCTACTGCTACTCGAGGTCGTGGTGGTTCTGTTCGTGGTTCTGGACGCGGAGGAGCAGCACCTTTGCCTGTGCGTCAGAGGACAAATACGAATAATTCGATTAAGTCCGCCGCTTCTGCTGCTGTAGGTCAAGGACCTTTGAGAAAGGAGAAGGAAAACGGCCCAGAAGGAATGATCGGAGAATACGATGGAGGATTGGAGGAGGAGGAAAGGGAAAGGAGCATTCAGATGGAGGTGGATGGGGAGATGGATAGAAGTGGAGAGTTTAGGATGCAGGATGTAGAGGAGGCAAAAGACGATAATGGGTGCGCTTTTCCTCAGCTCTATTTGTCTAGATCGATCCTGAGCGACTTGCTGGATGATAAGATACGGAGCGTCAGATGGAAGATCGTCCTTTCAGCTTGCATTGAATGATTTCGAACTCGGAAGAGCACTTGGAAAGGGAAAGTTTGGGCGAGTCTATATGGTGCGAACGAAGTTCGAGCCGCATTACATCCTCGCCCTTAAATGTTTGTACAAACATGAATTGGTGCAGAACAAGGTGGAAAAGCAAGTACGACGGGAGATAGAAATACAGCAAAACCTAAGGTCTGCTTGTTTCTCTATTGCTTGTCACATTGGTTTGACTGTCGCCGCTTGCGATTGATAAAGGCATCCTAACATCCTCAGACTCTACGGGTACTTTCATGACGAGAAGCGAATCTTCCTCATGCTCGAATTCGCTGGCAAAGGGGAGCTGTACAAACAACTCTCCAACCGCGGCTCCTTTAGCGAGAAACGGTCTTCCCGCGTGCGTTTTCCCAAACCCCATTTGACTATCCTGCGTTTGCTCATTAGAAATACCGTAGTACATTCACCAAATGGCTGACGCGCTCGCCTACCTCCACTCGAAGCATGTTATCCATCGTGATATCAAGCCTGAGAATCTCTTGTTGGGAATAAATGGAGAGTTGAAGATCGGAGACTTTGGATGGTCTGTGCATGCACCGTCGAATCGGTTCGTGCTCTCCCTTCATTGTTTGATTAAGGAAATTGAAGGCGCGCAATCAGGCGAACTACGCTCTGTGGTACTCTAGACTACCTCCCACCTGAGATGGTGGAAGGCAGAGAGCACAATGAAAAAGTCGACCACTGGGCTTTGGGTGTTCTCACTTTCGAGTTCCTCGTTGGCAGCCCTCCTTTTGAGGAGAAAGGGATGAACAGTCAGTCTTCGTTCTCCTACTGCCTTTATCGTGCTGATGAGATCTGTTTCATGGGGCGGTCAGCTACGTATAAGAAGATTGCAGCTGTAGACTTTCGTGTTCCCTCACATGTTAGCCCGGAAGCGAAAGACCTCATTTGTCGTGTGGGGTTTTGTTTGCTTCAAGCTTTCCTAAATTTGCTGATAAGTTTGAACGGGACAGCTCTTGAGAAAGAATCCGGATGATAGACTTCCACTTACTGAGGTGATGAGACATCCCTGGATCCTGAAGTATAAGAAAGTGGATGAGAGGACCAGCAGCATGCAAGGTATCTTGGACTAGATCCAACCCAACCTCCCGATTTCCCACAAACCTCATGTACA